GCATCCTCTTCAATGATACTCAAGTCTTCTTGCAGCTTATGCATTTCAGCATTTTTATTTGCCTAAACTCTTATAACTAAACCAATAGTGCTTGCCAATTCTTCTTCTAAGCGGGCTGCCTCATTTTTAGCATGCTTTAGATCTTTATCCATTCCCCGTAAGGCCGATTGATAATATTTCTCAATATTTAAACGAATCTGAGTGACTCCGGCTTGCAGTTGGGTTTGTTGTTTAGATATGGTCATCCGGGAATGCTCCAATTCCTCTTTTAACCTTTCTATAGCTCTTTGATCATTTCTCATCCTATTGGATCCTTCAGGCCTATCTCTAAGCGACGAAAGGTCGTGAAACCAGGTAATATATTCAGGGATCACCTCTCCATGATCTCGGTCTTCTACCATATCAGTCAACTCCGAGACTTTACTTGCATACCAAATTTTTATAATTTCTTCTTCGTCATGAGGTTGATCTTTACCAAAATCATAACAGAACTTGCTCATATCTCGTGTTGGTGGCACCTCCTGTAGTCGTGCAAATTGGCGCATTACCCGAAGTGGAGCATAAGACTGAACACCATCCAATCCTATGAGTACCAAATAAGAATGGTATGCAGACTCACAAATGACCTCTTTAGAGGAGAACCAATCATAGTTCCAAGTGATCCGTTTGGCAGAGAGAGTAAGAAGTAGTTCTTTCCAGGCGCCAATCCCCTCTGGTAAGTCACATTCGTAAATTCTTTTCTGGTGATCATAAGTATGATTGGGCCATAGCTCACTAAAATTAGTGATCGTAGGATGACGATAGAAATACTCCAAAAACTATATCTGTAACAAAATGTTGCAACCATCAAAGTTTCGCGCGCCCATTTTACATCTAGTTAAAGCACGAAAAATGCAAGAAAGAGTCATAGGGACCAAAGTATAATATCCCCCTTCTGAGGTCAGAGCCTCAACTACACCTGCCAAGCAGATGTCAATGTGTCCCTCTCTTTCCGGGAAAACTACACGCCCCCAAAAAGTGACCATAAATGCAAACCTTTTATGTACCTTCCATGTTTCCTTATCTTCCTTTGGTTTCAATTTTCCCATATTCCTTTCGAAATTGCATTCTAGGCCATACAACTGAAACAAAAAGCCCAACTTAACCCATTTGCCTCCTAGACCTTTATATTGTCCGTAATTTATGTTCAAAAGTTTCAAAAACCTACCCTCGTTCACATTTTTTGGTACTATGGGCCTTTGGCGGCGAAGATTGCGACCCCACCCCTGGAAATGGGAGATTTCCTCCAAGGTCGGAGTCATTTCACAGTCGGTAAAACGGAACACATTATTTTCAGGATTCCAGTGTGGAATCAAAGCTTCAATCACATCCCTACTGGGCTTTATCGTAATCATGTGAACCAAATATCCCAAGTATTTCTTTATCTAATTTCGCTCATATTCCTTAAAGTATCTCCACCAATCCCACAACAACTGTGGTATCTGATCGACAATCAGAAAATCTGGTATCCCTTCTAATCTGGGCCTCTTTTCCGACTTACCTCTTTCCCCACTCATGGTATACCTGTCTATCCAGACACGGGGTTAGGCTTTGATCAAACATATTATTGACACATAAAAATTCTAATTTCTAGGGTTTTGACTATATAAAAGAATATAAATAAATAAATAAATAAATAAAAGCTAAACCGTGGGACTATAAAAAAAATATTTTGGGATTTAGTATTTTTTTTTTTTGAAAATTGGGGCCGGAACCGATGAGGTTTGCCTACGTATCTCACATCCTGGTGAGAATCAGACCTGCGTAGTTCGGTAAAATCGACTATGTTCTTATTTTGTTTTTTTATGAAAATTAATCTTTAAAAACCATATGCACTAAACCACATCATTTTTTCTCTTTTCGTTCAACTGATATATGCTAAAGTCAGTCGACATGCAAACCTCCCAAATAATGCAACAAGTAGCACGTAACATGACATAATGGTCTCAACAAAGCCTGTCCTAAAACAGAACTCGACCTCTGTGTCGAGCGCTGCTAAGTCAAATGTACATGATGCAAATAAAGCGTAGCCTACTAGGGATATTCATTGCTTGTGGATTGTTCTTCTAAGTTTGTAAATCCTAAAGGAGATGGTATCTATACCTAGCTTATCCGAGCGGACAACCCGAGCCGAGGAGCGTCAAGCGTCACCAGTAGTAGAACAGCACAGGCTAGCTAACGGCTCTCCCGCCTAAACACATGTGACTAAATCCTTCACCAGAAGCTGGTAAGCTAACTGGCTTTATCTCAAGACATAAATTTTGTAATGCTCCTAGGTAAACACAACATAACTAATTATGAGAAGACTCAGAGGGATGCGAGAGAAGATACAATTTATATGTACAGTTCAACAATATCAAAACGGTAAAAACTCGACAAGTAACATATTAGGCCCAAATAAATTACAATATATACAAAATTTAATAAAGCCAAATAAAGTTAATGTACAAGCTCGAATTCTTGAATATCCCCAGCAAAGTCGCCAGAGCTGTCACACCCCTTTTATGCCCCCCAAAATGATAATGTGTGTTATGGATGGTGGGTTAAAGAGTTTTTCCAATTAAAGTGACAAACTTAAATAGGGATTATTTTATTTACAAAGTCGCCACTTGGAATTGATTTTTTGGGTGTTCCAAGTCACCTTTTATTTCAATTCCTAGTCAAAGGAAGATTTGACTCTTTTATTATTGGTCTGCAAAACAAAGTCAGGGTAAGGAATTCTGTTGACCGGGAAGAAGGTGTAAGGCATTCCTCGAGTCCCGTGGTTCTAGCACGGCCGCTTTATTGACTACAACTTGGCTTGAATTAATTTTGGATAAACTGTGATTTATTAGTTTTCATGTTTTATCTATCCGCTTTTAATTATTAAAATATAAAATTATCTTTGAAACGAATCACTTGTGTGAATCCGTTTTGTTTATTGTGCCAAAATCATGTCTCGCGTACGTGTACACAATTAATAACATTTTAGTATACTAAGATTGTTTTGCCCAAAGTTGCGCTAACGCATACTTCAATTTATAATTTTTGAAAATCATAACTATGTCACGCGAACGTGTACACAATCACAATAATTTATTTATTAATATGCGCCTAAAGAATACTAGCGATTATTAAGATTTATTTTTAATTACATCAATTTTATTGTAAGACTAAAGTTATAGTATAATATTGTGAGAAAGGTGAAGTAATTTAGTTATATGAGCTAGCTATAGGTAGACCCAATTAAACTTAAATAAAGATCATTTCTCGTTATCATTCAAGAAGAAAGAAAGCAAATTTTCCTATCCACTTTATTGAAACAGTTTCATCTACAATTACTGTCAAGTCCAATTATTATTGTTTTAAGTCTAAACATGACCCATTAATATGGCACTAAACCCTTTAATTTTGAACAAATCTTATTCAACTAATCTATTTAGCACTTAACTTTATACCTACAGAAGAAATCTAAAGCTATAAAAAGAGGAACAATTGTAACGAAAAAACCAGCGTAGCAAATCCTCACGTGAACTCCCATTTCCACATAAAGATACCAAGAACAATATTCAGCAATTTGAGCAAGAATCTCGTAACAACATCATCCGCAAACATTAACTCAAACATCATTCACATGATAATGAAGATCGAATTATAACATAATCACAGTAATATTTGATCCGACTAAAATAAACATTAAGAACATTAAAATAATATATTTATGCCAGAACAAAAATAGTAGAACAAGAGATTTGACCTTTATTGCTGAAATTTCCAGCAGATACAGTGAAGAAGAAGCTCACAAACAGTAATCCTCAAACGACGCTAGGAACTAGAAACTCGAATCGGAATCGGCAACCCCGGACGGACTTAGATCAACTAAGTTCGGACTGTGGTTTCAGGCTGATTTTCACACTGATTTTGGAGGTTTGAGTGGTGGTGACAAGGCTGTTTAGCGGTGAGCTTAGAGGTTGGTCTCAAGTTGAAAACGGGGTTGTTTTAGTGGAGTTTTTCGCCCCGTTTTGCGGCTGGAACAGTGAAGTTTTATAGGTATTATGTGATTGTCTCTTTCATGGAGTTTTTAGCTCGAATTAGTGGAGCTTATGAGCTGGTTTATGGGGGTCATTTTCCTGATTTTTTGGTGACGTTTTGGTTAGTTTTATAGAGTTGTTTTTGCTGCATTTGTTTTTTTAGCAGAAAACAAGGACTGGTTTGGGGTCTTTTTTGGATGGATTTCGGGGGTTCTGTCCGTTTTTCTTGAATTAGGGTCATGTGGGGGGTTGTGAGTGGGGGACCAACATGGGGACAAGGGAAAGTGAAGTGGAATAAAGAGTGGGGGGACAAGCATGAGGGCAAGCATGGAGGACAAGAGAAAGTGGAATGGGGACAAAGTGTGAGAAGATGGGAGCGAGAAATATTTAAAGCACGGTAAAAAATTAGGTGCTCACAATACACTCACATTAGTATAAAACACATGCATATGACACTTACTATTTGAAAGTAGTTTTTTTAATTTAATCTTTTGAACAATCTACTAAAAAATTTTAATATAAAATTTATGGCTCACAGTATTTTTTTTATGTAATTGCTTTGCTAAGTATATAAATTCAAAGAATTAATGAATTGGTGTCCGAATTTATGCCAGAATTTGATAATTTGAAAATTACCCAAAAATATTGGATATATGAATCTACCCATCCTAAAAAGGGAGAAGTGTACAAACAATTATTTTTAAGGCTGTTATTTAGAGATTAATCAATATTTTTTTTTTTGAAAATTTGAATTAAAAATCTTAAATTTCAGGACATTTGTGTCCTGAAAAATTGAACTAGAAAACTGAAATTCATGACAGTTTGGCTAATTTTTAAATAGCAGCTCATTAGAGTGGGTACCTAGTGTCATTTCTACTCAATCTCTAAAGTCCTAGCCCAGCCCATCTGCATCCTTTCTTATTTGTTAGCCCACTATCAATTAGCTTCCCGCCATGCACTTTCAATCTCCCTCCAACTTCAACCAAAGATCCCAAAAGAAAGAGACAGTGTAATAAGGAAACAAAACCCTATCCTAATTCCCAAACTTCAATCCTCAGTTTCTCAGAAAAATGTCGAAATTAAATCACCAAGAAGACCTGGATCTCCTTCTCTCTCTACCGGATAGGGTTTTAGAAACCCCTCCAGCTTCTCCTTCATCTCAGTTCCCAGGTAAATGTTCAAAACATGTTATGGGGTTTATTACAACTAATGCCCTATAGTGGGTTCTATAATCATGTGTTTTCTTCAATACATATGTTTTTGCTGTAATTTAATGGAGCCGAATAGAGCTGAACTTTCAAGAAAAACAAATTTTATTTATTTCACATCAAAGACTGAACTTGCACAATTATTTGATTTTTATGATTTAGTCCTTAATGTTAAAATTCTGTCACAAAAACAATTTCAATGCTAAAATGGTGCACTCATTGAGCGAGTAGCATATACTAGACTTTACTTGATTTGGAATTAAGTTGTGGTTGTTTTATTTGATGTTTCTGGATAAAAGTCTGTTGGATTGGAAGATGTCTTTTTTGTTGAATTTTTGTGGATTGTTTTGAGTTTGTATCTTCTTACAGATTATTTGTCGGATGATGGATCGCCAAAGCGATTGGGGGAGGCAGATATGTCTGTCTTTAGAGATGCTGTTCAGGATTGTCTTGATTATGATACTGAAATTGCCAAAAAAGCTGTCAAATCAAAGCATACCAAGGGGTCAAGTGATCCTGAGGTTGAAAAGTTTTCAGGTTTGCGAATTGGGTATGTCCTTTGAGACTTTGACATGGTTATGGGTGCATATCCAATGGGTTCTTGCTGCATTCTAATTATTATTCATTTTCCTGTAGAATGCATAATCAGTCTCTTTCCGCTACTATTAGAATTTGAAAGATGTTGGGTTCCTAATATTTCAATATGTTCTGCAAGACTAGTCACTTTCAGATGATTGTAATAAAAGTTACTTTACATTCAAATTCTGATGAGAGGAAGTCACAATTGAGAGAATGTAATATTTTGGCTTCTTAAAATGGTCATCAGATGCTTGTGACTTGCAGTTAATATGGTTAGAAACGCCACATAGTTTCTTGTATGTTTAATTTCGATAATTTAAAAGTGGAGGCCAGATTAGATTGTTATTGGTGAAGTAGTAGTTACATTTGATTTTGATTGGTTTGAGCTAGCTGGTAGCTTCAGTCTTAATGCTGTGCTAAGCAAATTACAGATGAATGCTTTGTTTAGATACTGAACTGGCAACTAATATTTTTCCTTTCTTTTCCTTTTACTCAGAAATCAACTAGTTTCAGCTGTTGAACTGAGCAACCATTTTGCTGATATTAGGTTCATCCGGTTATCAGCAATAAGGTATGTTAAGATGCTGACCGAGTTACTAAGAGTAGTTTCTGTGGACCTATGTAATCATTTATTTTCCTATCTTTAAGGAATTCTCTAGCAGGCGACACCCTTTCTGGTTGTTGGGCAACTGTTGGCGTTTTAACTGAGAAGGGGCAACAAAGAACAAGTTCAACAGGGAAGAACTATGCAATCTGGAAAATGGGATCTTTGGATGAAAAAACTATTTCTCTTTTTCTTTTTGGTGATGCTTATCAGAAGAACTGCAATGAAAAGGCTGGTGCAGTTTTTTCCCTATTCAATTGCAGTGTGCGCAAAGACAACTCGGTATTGTTATCACTGCCTATCAATAAAATCATTTCTGTTAAGATTTCAGGGTGAGTTGCTAAAACCTCTTCAATGCCCCTTGTCCAGGAAAATGGGTTTTCTCTGAGTGTTTATTCAGCCAGTCACATTTTAAAGATAGGCACTTCTGTGGATTATGGAGTTTGCAAGGGAAAAAGGAAGGATGGGATGGCATGCACATTAGTCATTAACAAGTAAGATCTCTAATTTTATGTGTTGTTACGGGCTCATAGTCATAAATGGACTGAATACCTTCAGGCATAAGTACTAAAGAATTGCAAAATACAATAAGATGCTCAAAAGATCCATATTCATAAAATGTTTCGCTATCTACTTGTTTATTTACAAGGGGACATGTATGTCTCATCTGTGTTCTGGAGGCTGGCTCTTGATTTGATGTTTCTTTGGGAGGTCCAAAGTAATCCCTTGTATCAGAAACACTAGGATGATTGTTTTAGAGATCTCATAGACTTGGGGGTTGAAGGTGATCTTGCCTGGTCATTCCAACATAGTAATTTGTACAGGAAAACTTTGTAATCGCCAACATTTACACAAGAAGAATGAAGTACCACTGCTCATCACAATTCTTATTTGTTTGGTTTTGATTTGCTTCAACGAGGATAGTTTGTACTTTTCGATTCGAGCAAGTCCTCACTCGATCATTAAGCCTAAGGGCTACTCTTATTTTGAGTTCGAGCGAATCCTCACTCGACTATAAAGCCTAAGGGCTACCCTGACTTGAGTTCGAGCAACCATTCTCACTCGGGGACTATCTATCGAGCCCAAGGGCTACCATTACTTCGAATTCGAGAAATTATTCTCACTCGACTATAAAGCCCAAGGGCTACCTTATCTCAAGTTCGAGCAAGTCCTCACTCGACCTTAAAGCCTAAGGGCTACCTTATTTCGAGTTCGAGCAAGTCCTCACTCGACCATTAAGCTTAAGGGCTACTCTTATTTCGAGTTCGAGCAAGTCCTCACTCGACCATTAAGCTTAAGGGCTACTCTTATTTCGAGTTCGAGCAAATCCTCACTCGACTATAAAGCCTAAGGCCTACCCTGACTCGAGTTCGAGCAACCATTCTCACTCAGGGACTATCTATCGAGCCCAAGGGCTACCATTACTTCGAGTTCGAGAAATCATTCTCACTCGACTAAAAATCCCAAGGGCTACCTTATCTCGAGTTCAAGCAAAACCTTAAAGCCTAAGGGCTACCTTATTTCGAGTTCGAGCAAGTCCTCACTCGACCATTAAGCCTAAGGGCTACTCTTATTTTGAGTTTGAGCAAATCCTCACTCGACTATAAAGCCTAAGGGCTACCCTGACTCGAGTTCGAGCAACCATTCTCACCCGGGGACTATCTATCAAGCCCAAAGGCCGCCTCGATTCAAGATCGAATTATTACCTCAAATCTGGGACTACGTATTAAGCCTAAGGGCTACCTTAATTCGAGTTTGAACATTCACTCAAAGATTACCGATCAGAAGCGGTCGAAGAACAGAATGTTCAGTTTAACAATGTCTCATACCTATGTTGTAGTTGTTGCAGCCAAACGCACACGCAAGTATACGTGGTCGTCAAGTAATAAAGTGACTAAAAGT